AAACTTTTCATTTTTATTATTTAACATTTTTGCATACTTTTAATACACACTATATAAAAGTGGTGGAGAAGAGGCACGTCCATGTCTCTATAAACATGATTATCCAAAAATCTAGGTCTATGAGCAGCCACTGGAGCATGGAATTAAGCATCTCAGACTAATTACATGGTCCAAACTTTGGCACTAATACTTTTCCATAAAGTTTTACTGAAAAAAAGCCACTTCCTTGTGAGCATAAGCAGAGGGGACGGTTTGTATAGTTAAACAAATATATAACTCTAGAAGCATAGAGCCACAGGCTACACAGTGCAGGGTGAAGAGTAAGTTATATTAAGTTATAGTCCAAATTGCAAAACAAAGATAAAACAAAATTCGGCCATGATTAAAGCCTCTTTGTTTTATTTTTTGGACCATCATTACATATATCTTACTTTGTAACTTGTGGCTCTATACTTCTGGATTTATATTGGGTGCTAGCGGACCTCCCCCACAAAACTCTGATGTATCAAGATACTAGTGTGCAGCACTCTACTACTGGGTGGAAATATATAACTCTGATAAGGTTTCATCATGTTTGTCCTTCAATATTCCCTTGATGTGATTTAAAGGAAAAACGAAAAAGAAATTAAGAGACAAGAAAGGCTAAAACACACAAAGAGAAATTATAGTATAAATTGGTTGAGTGATATTTAAGCATTTAAATCTAATAGACGTATGTGGTAGAATATGGTTGCAAAATGTGGTTTAGTAAGAGAGCATTTATGTAAAATAAACCACCTGTATTAAGGAAGTGAGAATAGGTCAAAATAAGATAAGAAATGAAGAAAAAATTATGTCTGTGGACAAACTGGACCTTGTTCAGTAAAATATTTTTACATTAACAGTACAAATAGAGGCTGCGCAAATAATTGCTGTGTGCACAAACCAAGGTGCTACTAACATTTATTTATGGGACAAATAACAAATGTTTCGGGGTAATCCCCTTACCAATGTATCATGTCCCTCCCCCCTTACCACACACTCACCCTTTCATATACAAAATATACAGTGAAATAAGTCCAAGGTCACCCTCCGCGCCCTCCCCCAGCCTGCCCGTCCCGTCCCACCGTCCCTCGGGGTGGCGGGCCAGCGGGGCGGGGAGGGGGGGACGGGGCCCCCCGCTCCCGGCGCGGCCGTCAACCGGGGCGGACTGCCCTCAGTACGCCCCAGCCGCTCCGCGCTGCCGAGGCGGGAGGGCCCACGGGATGTCTTATAAAATTGGGTGCCAATACAAAGAAAAAAAAGGGAAAAGAGTTGAATGAGCTTAATATTGATTTGGTAAAACAAGAACGTCTACATAAGATTACTTTAGATCATAAAATTCTGGAGGAGATCAGGAAAAAAATACTAATAAGAACTCAAGAAAAAATTAACAAAGCAATGTTAGTATTAAAGCAGGGATGGTACTATGGAAATAATAAAACAGGGAAAAACCTTTCAAATAAATTAAAAAATAAAAATAAACTTCAATCTATAAACTATATAATAGCTGGAAATAAAAAACTCTTTTCACCAACTCAAATAGCCAATGCATTTGAAGAACACTACAAAAGTTTATATAATTTAAAATTTAATGAGCCACCTGTAGGGGAAACAAAGCATTTCCTGGATAAACTAAGCCTGCCAAAAATATCTACTGAGAAATTAAATCAGCTCAATGCTCCATTCTCCATTCAGGAGATTAGTAACACCATTAAAGTATTAATAGCGAGCAAAGCACCAGGTCCAGATGGTTTTTCATCGATTTTTTATAAAAAATTAAATGATATAATTTCCCCATATCTATTGAAGATATTTAAAGAATTTGCCAGCTATAAAACTATCCCATCCGGATTACTCCAGGCCTCTATAATGCCAATCCCTAAGGTAGATAAGGATCCAATATATACTTCGAACTACAGACCAATTTCTCTTATTAATTTAGATATTAAATTATATTCTAGAATTTTGGAAGATAGACTCAAACAAAACATACCTGATATTGTTCATATAGATCAGAGTGGGTTTGTAGAAGGTAGGGGTACATCGGATAACATTAGGAAATTACTGAATGTTTTATATCATGCGGATCAAAGTTTGTCCCCCTTCGCCATGGTTACCCTTGATGCCGAGAAGGCCTTCGACCGTGTTAACTGGAAGTATTTGGAAGAGGTTTTGAAGGCCTTCGGCATAGAGGGTCTCTTTAAGGAGTGTACAATGGCGTTATATAAAGATCCTCAAGCTAGAGTCTCAGGATTTATGTTTCAATCAAACTGGTTCCCAATCAGAAATGGGTCCTTTGGCACCCCTGTTATATATCCTCTCTATAGAACCGCTGGCAGCCGCGATTAGACAGAATGATTACATCAGCGGGCTAAAAGTGAATAGTCTGGAGAATAAAATTGCACTTTATGCAGATGATGTTCTATTGACTCTTATAGATCCTATTAGATCCATTCCAGCTGTATTTTGTCTTATTAATGAGTATAGTAAATTTTCAGGCTATAAAATAAATATAAAGAAAACACAAATCCTGACAAAAGGTCTAAATGGACCTGGGGTAAAAAAACTCAAAAAAGAATTTAAATGTGATTGGGAAGCAAGGAATATAAAATACTTAGGGGTAAGACTATCTCTAGACTATAGGGAAACCGGTGAACTTAATTATACAGAAATAGCTACCCAATTTAGGAGTACTCTGAAAAATTGGAAGGGATTGGAATTATCTTGGTTGGGAAGAATCGAAGCGGTAAACTCCTACCTACTCCCCAAATTGACATTTTTATTTTGTAACCTCCCGTTGAGGGTTCCATTCCAGACGATACGCGGTTTACAAAAACAGGTTTCGGATTATATATGGCAAGACAGGAGACCCAGAGTATCACTGGAAATTTTACAGAGAGATTGGAAGGAAGGGGGAATCTCTTTCCCAGCTATACAGAAACTATATATGAACAATATGGTAGCACACTTAAATAAATGTGATAATTTTACAATGACAAGACCAGTCTGGTTAGATATTGAAAAATCGGATCTCTGTAATATTGAACCTCTATTTCTCTGGTGGTGTGACAGTGAATTTGTAAAAAATATAAGGCCTAGTAACCCGATGAACAACACAATGATCTATATTGTAAAATACTTAAAGAAAAAATATGGAACTAAACATATATCAAGAAACGCCCCATTAACATGTCTAAAACTTTATATAAAAGATATAAATATTCAAGAATGGGAAAAGCGTGGAATTGCAAAAGTTGCGGAACTTCTAAATGATAACAAAATATTGTCATTCGCAATGTTACAGCTCAATTATAACCTCCCTTCGAAGGAAATATTTAATTACTTAAGAATAAAATCTTTTATTATGGGAAACGTTTTTTCGGAAACTTCTCCAATTGACCAGTTTGTAGCATTCCATTACAAAAAAAAAAATCGCATCCAGATTTAATCAATTTATAAGAAGCCAAAGGCAAATAGTTAAAGCGTTGGCAATGAATAAATGGGAGCAGGAACTCCACTTTTAATCCTCGGTTGAAGATTGGATTTTGAGCCTACAATCAGTAAAAAGATATATACATGGGGTGAATATACAGGAAGTGTACTTTAAACTGGTATATCGTTGGTACCTGGTGCCCACTCGCCTCCATAGATTTCAACCCACACTTCTACCAGATTGTTGGAAATGTGGTAGGGAGCTAGGCTCATTCTCCCACATCTGGTGGGACTGTAAGGAGTTGAAATCTATGAAAATAACTTTATCGGACTTGGTAGATTCCATTTTGAAGGTTCAAACTGTTATCACGGCTCAAATGTTCCTGTTCCACTTAGATTTGCCAAAAGTTAATATAAAACAAAAAATTCTTATGATTTACTCCTTTATGGCAATAAAAATAGTCATGGCCAGAAATTGGAGAAATATGGGTTCGTTAAACTGGTATGATATATGTATACAAATAGATTATCAATGTAGGATGGAAGCTGGGTTAGCCTCAAATAAGTTATCCAGAGAGAAATATGATGAAATCTGGGCCCCTTGGGTTAGATATCTTAGCTGTAAAAACTCAACTCCCCTCCCACAGATAGCCACTCTTAGGTAGCACCAATGTGAAATGATTGTAAGGAAGAGGAATTGTATGCTATTTTCTCTTCTTTTTGTTTGATTGTAGACAATGTAGATAATGTTCAAATGTATGAAATATGGCTACACTAAATATATGTATAATTACATAATTTACTGTAAAGTAATATATTGCACCATATTGTAAAATCTATTTTTGAAAACGCATTTGGATGAAACTTTTAAAACGAAAAATAAAAATTTATATATATAAAAAAAAAAAATAAGATAAGAAATGAAGAAAAAATTATGTCTGTGGACAAACTGGACCTTGTTCAGTAAAATATTTTTACATTAACAGTACAAATAGAGGCTGCACAAATAATTGCTGTGTGCACAAACCAAGGTGCTACTAACATTTATTTATGGGACAAATAACAAATGTTTCGGGGTAATCCCCTTACCAATGTATCATGTCCCTCCCCCCTTACAACACACTCACCCTTTCATATACAAAATATACAGTGAAATAAGTCCAAGGTCACCCCCCTCTGCACCAACCAAAGAATTGGGTCCAGCCACCATCTTGCTGCTTTTCCCAGTATGCTGCGGTTGTCACGTCGTGTGCGATGACGTCATACGTAACGTTGTGCATCATGACGTCACGTTGCTAAGCAACGATAAACAAAAACAAGAAAATGCTTAAATCCAATCTCCTAACTGCGTAGGAGATCAGTAAGCACAAAAAAACTAGCATATTGTTTTACAAAAAAGCAAAAACTTTAAGCCAAATAGGGAATAAACACAGGTAAGCACAACATAAGCCAAAGAACATATAAGGATTCAATAAATAAAGTCCTAATAGAGTTTATATGAAAACAAACAGAAATAAATACAGGAAAAATATATTAGGCTGTGTGTGTGTGTGTGTGTGTGTGTGTCTGCTTTCACTTAATGTCTACCCAGTCCATCATCTTCCTTAAAGGTATGCCTATAGGGAAGAAGACGCACTGGCTAGACATTAAGTGAAAGCAGACGCACACACACACAGCCTAATTTATACATACATCCACTCATACTGCTTAATACATATATCCATACAATCATACTGCCTAAAACATACATCAATGCATTTGGTGGGATTTAATTTATAATAATGGTGGGACTTAATTTACGTTACAATGAACATTAAGTAAAAATGTTTTTGTTTTTTTTTAAATAGAATTAGATTAATATACTATAATTATAATTTAATGTATAAAGATCTCTTCATATGGTCACACACACTAGCACACACACACTCAGTGGTGTACACACCCGGTGTCACTTACACACTCATTAACACACTCTCACTGACATACACAGCACTAGCACAAACACACTATTTGATATACACATTATCATTTACACACTCTCACTAACACACTTACACTCTCACTGACATACATACAGTGTCAGTTACACACACACATGCACACACTCTCACTGACATACAGTGTCACTTCCACACTTCCACTGACATACTCACAGTTTCACTTATACACTCTCAATAACACACACAGTCTCATTAACACACACACACACACTCTGACATACACAGTGTCACTTACACACTCTCACTGACATACACAGTGTCACTAACACACACACACACTGTCACTCAAACACAAACTCACACCACTTTACATAAAGTCACACTTTATTCACACATACAGTAATTTAACACACATACCAATTTACAACCATGCACACGATAACCAGTCTAGCTTAGCCTCCAGATATGACATACCTGTCCTATTGCTGTCAATGAAGGAGAAGGGGTCCAGCCCCAGCTTGCAGGAATTGGCTTTTCTTTCTGCTGGGGGAGCAGGAGAGCAGTGCACTGGGTGCAGCAGCTGCTTCCTGTTCCCCTCAGCACAGCAAGCAGCTGGTGTTTCCCCCGCCTGCAGGAAGCAAAGTGCTCTGCTCAGGTGCTTGGGTTACAGTAAACCCCGCTCCCTGAGCAGGTGATCGGCTGCAGAGAGAAGCCCCGAAGGGATGGCTAAGGAGCCGCTCACCCATCACAGCATCCCCAGATAGAAGCAGGGCAGCACACCAGGAAACCTCTCGGTGGGTGTCCCCAGAGGTCGGTGCCCCAGGGGAATGTCTTATTCGCCTAATGGTAGCGCCGGCCCTGATTACTAGGCACCAGAACGAATTCTCATTCCAATATAATGTGAATACAAATACAGTGATAATTATATACACATAATATATACAAATGTGTATCCCTAACAAGAATGAAAAATAGGGAAAATTCAGAGAACAACCCCATAAAATAGTAGGGAGCAAAGAAAGCCCATCTACAAAGGAAATGACTGATGTTAACAATAACAGACTATTTTAAACAAGCTGCTGTGTAAAAATAACTTTGTTATAATTTACATAAGTCACTGCTGCCACTGAAATCAGACATATACACTTATGATTACCTAGTATAATGAAAGCTCCAAATAAATATAATTCTAAATATGTATTTTAAACAGTCCTTCGTATAGAGTAATTAAAGATGAAAACAAAAAAGTGATGCTATAATTGCTAAAACAACAAAGGAACAGCACTACTAATATTTATAAAAGCATGTTGCTATTCCTTTATACTGCATTGTGTGAACCTCTGTTTAAAATATGAATATGTTATACGGATGCATGTGGTCCCATTATGTCATAATTTAAACTACAGGTTCCTATATATTATTTGCTCTATTAAATTATGCATTCATTACACTGGCTGCAAATCCACAACATGACAAATGATGGAACTTGCAGCAGCATGTTAAAGCACACACACCAACTCAGGTAGATGTAATATATAAGGAATAACTCTTTTTTTAGAATTTCTCAAGGACAAACTGGTTGTGCCCTACATAGGAATGAGATGAAAGGAATACTGCATTGACTAACGAATATATGAGCATTGTGGGTGATTTGTATAGTAAGTAGTAGCAAATTGGGAAAGATGCTGGGTTGTATACATAAATATAAACATACAAGCCATATACAGTCTTGTATTAGATCCTACTGCTGACTTTTTAAATAAAGATGCTTGAATGAGTTTTAAACATGAATAAACACAAAAGGCTTATGTGTGAAATGTTACTATTTTTTCATTTCATAAAAACACTAAGGGGTAAATTACAGTCTATCAGATTAACCCCTTAAGGACGGAGCCAAATGTAAACAAAACCTGGCATTTGCGCTACATGTCTGTCCAACCGTAATTCAACTCTTTCATAGTAAATACACCCATCCTTATTATATATCATTTTATTCAGGGGAAACATGGCTTTCATTTAATATCAAATATTTAGCTATGAAACATAATTTAATATGAAAAAAATGGGAGAAAATAAGATTTTTTTTTATTTTTTTAGTTCTACATGACATTTTAACTGTCAATGTCATAATACAGTTTGCTTTTACTGCAATAAAATACACATATTTGTATTCAGCGATGTCTCACGTGTAAAACAGTACCCCCTATGTACAGGTTTTATGGCGTTTTGGGAAGTTACAGGGTCAAATATAGCATGTTACATTTGAAATTGAAATTCGCCAGATTGGTTACGTTGCCTTTGGGACTTTATAGTAGCCCAGGAATGAAATTTACACCCACAATGGCATACCAATAGTAGACAACCCAAGTTATTGCAAATGGGGAATGTCCAATCTTTTTTAGTAGCCATTTGGTCACAAACACTGGCCAAAGTTAGCGTTAGTATTTGTTTGTGTGAAAAATGCAAAAAACGCAAATTTTGGCCAGTGTTTGTGACTAAGTGGCTACTAAAAAAGACTGGACATACCCCGTTTGCAATACCTTGGGTTGTTTACTATTGCAAATGGTATGCCATCATAGGGGTAATTTTCATTCTTGGGCTACCATAGGGTTTCAAAGGCACCGTAAGCAATCTGGTGAATTTTAATGTGAAAAAAATGAAAAGCAAACCTTATATTTGACGCTGTAACTTTTGAAAACACCATAAAACCTGTACATGAGGTGAACTGTTGTACTTGGTAGACTTCGCTGAACACAAATATTTGTGTTTCAAAACAGGAAAAAGTATCACAGTAATAATATCATCCGTGTAACTGCTGTTTGTGCATGAAAAATGCAAAAAAACTCACTTTAACTGGCGATATCATCGTTGTAATACATTTTACTGTTTTGAAACACTAATATTTGTGTTCAGCGAAGTCTCCCAAGTAGAACAGTACCCCCCATGTACAGGTTTTATGGTGTCTTGGAAAGTTATAGGGTTAAATATAGTGCTAGCAAATTACACCATAAAACCTGTACATGAGGTGAACTGTTGTACTTGGTAGACTTCGCTGAACACAAATATTTGTGTTTCAAAACAGGAAAAAGTATCACAGTAATAATATCATCCGTGTAACTGCTGTTTGTGCATGAAAAATGCAAAAAAACTCACTTTAACTGGCGATATCATCGTTGTAATACATTTTACTGTTTTGAAACACTAATATTTGTGTTCAGCGAAGTCTCCCGAGTAGAACAGTACCCCCCCATGTACAGGTTTAATGGTGTCTTGGAAAGTTATAGGGTTAAATATAGTGCTAGCAAATTAAATTCCCTTTACTTTTGGCATGGGTTGTCAGGCAGGTCCCGCTAATTGTAATTAATTAAGATACCTAATTATGTAAAAATATTACATAAATATACATGTAGAATTAATATATGTATATATATATACGTATGTGAATCTATATGTGTATATATATATGATTTTTTTTTAAATATTTTGATTTATATATAGGTATATATATAGTGATATAAACGTATATATTTATGTATGTAGATATATATATTATTTCTTTCTACGTGTATTTTGATATAAATATATATATATATATATATTAATATCACAATACAGTTACAACGAAATAACACACATCTATATATTTTTTAATTATTTTTTTAAATTTTTTTAAATTTTATTTTTTAACGTATTTACATATTTAATTTTTTTATATTATATATAAATATATATATAACAATAATTATATATATATATATATTTAATCAGTATCAGTCTACATGTAATTTGATATTAATATATAAATATATATATATATATATATATATATTAATAGTAAAATACACCTAGACAGTGTATGTGTGTGTATGTATATGTGTATATATATATACTTAGATCATATATATAATATATATGATCTAAGTATATATATATTTTTTTTTTACACTTAATTAATTTATTTTATTTTTATTTCCAGCCAGCAGGGGGACCACCTGTCATTACAGGCAGCCCCCCTGCTGGCAATACAGAAGCCAGCTATACCGGCCATGTGATTGTGGGGTCCTCGCAAGGACCTCACTCTCACATGGGGGGGGCACCGGAGGAGGGACTGCCAGTGACCGGGTAAGTAAAGAAAGACCGGAGGGCGTACAATTACGCCCGGCGGCGTTTAGAGCCACCTAAAATAGGGCGTAATTGTACGCCCTCCAGTCTTAAGGGGTTAACAGCTGAATGTCTCTTTGTGTGTGTTCATAATGTTGGCAAGATCACTATATTACCATTCTAATACTGATTTTGATTCTTTACATTTAACAGTCAAGCTTAAGAGATCCCAATATTTCCAAATAAAAGTTATTGACACATGAACAGAAACATAAACTTGAAGGTCACTGAAAATTATACGTGTGCAGGATAAAAACAATTTCCCCAAAAATGTAAACATTTTTAGGACACCTGAATTGGCTCGGCATTATTTTGTTACCAAAAATCTGATTCGATAACTGAATTAAATTAACCAACAAGGTGTGAAAATGGGCCTATCAGTAAACTGCACAGTATATACATAATAGCATACAAATATTTTGTAGTATAATGATAGGAGCATTTTCCTATCATTTTGTTCACAGATCAAGGTTTCAATTTAATATTTTTGGGTAAACATCTAAAGTAATTTAATATTTTGAAAAAAACAATTGTAATATTTTTAAATTTGTTGATATGTTGATATATTTTGCATTTAAATATATAT